CACTCATTCAATTCCTGGGTCAAGGGTTCAATTAAATTCCATAGCTTTGTCAAGGATTAAAATAATTGGGGAGAAGGTTGAAAAAGAAGGGTTTTAACGTTGAATGTACCGGAGTATACCTGGTAAATCGGCGGGTTGGATTGGGTTTGAATCAATTTAAGTGATGAGTTATATAGGTTGGGTTATAAACGAGTTACAAGTTGAAAAAGTTTAATTTTAACTCGACTTTAATGGGTTACGGATTAATACGCGGATTGATTTTATTTTCATTTTTTATAATTATTTTTCATTAATTTATTATATACAAATAAAATTATATATATCTAAATCTAATTAAAATATTATGATTCATTAACACTAAATACTTTATAGTTTCAATCACAAACATTTAAATTAAGAAAAAAATTAAAAAGTTATAAATAATAATAAATTGATTAACAATAAAAATATTAAACGTAAAATATTTAAATTTTATGAAAAATAAAATTTTAATTTTATAATCATCTTGAAATGTTATTAAGTAGTTTAATCCATTTTTTTAATGATGAAATTGCTCTTCCAAGAACATCTTTCACTAAGTTATTATGTTTATGTTCTAACATTACATCTTTTAATATTTTTAGTTGTATTATCATTTCATTCATGATACTTGGATAATTGTTAATACCAAAAAAAAAAATGATACTTGGGTAATTAGATCAAACTTATTATAATTTCTTCTTCTTTCTCTAGAAATTAGGAAATATGAATTAATGGAAGGAGTTACCAATAAAAAAATTAATTAAGAATAATAAGTATAATATTTAAAAATAATAATAAAAAATAAAACAAATGGGTCAACTTGTCAACTCGTGGATTGACTCTAACCCAACTCATGACCTGTACAAGTTGATAATACGAGTTATTTACGGGTTACGGATTGAGACATGTAGATCCTAACTCATTTTTTACGGGTTGAGTCAGAGTCGGATGGATTTTTGTCAAGCTTATTTCGAAGATATCAGGATTCTGACCGGTCAAACCAACTACTCCCACGATCCCATTAACTAATTGGGATGTCATTAGGGTCATACCATATTCTTATTTTTTTCATAAAAGTTAATTATGGTATTTATGATATGAAAATAGTATCTATCCGTCTTATTTTTTAAAAATTTTAAAAAAAAATTATTTCAAAATAATATCATTTTAATAAATTTTTATTAAAAAAAATTAAAATATGTTATTTTTAAAATATGAATTAGAGTGTTTTTTATCATTACTTGTAGTACTTTATTTATTTATTTTTACTTTTTTGATGTTAATTGCATAACAGAAAGCAACTCTCTTCTATTTCTTATCACATTTTATTTGCATGCCATGCGATTTGAACTCAATACTTTTTACTTTCAGTGGAAGAAGATTACTTCTGAATTACTTAGGTCACTGAGCTTGTAATACTTTATTAAAATTATATAGTTTTAGAATAATTTTCTTTTTAATCTTTAGGAAGTAAGGCGGATAAGCACTAATCTCATTTAATTTAAATAGAAATTAAATTATATACAAATTTTATATCTCATATTTATATAAAATTTTAATTTTTTATTTTTTTATTTTTAATAATTAAGATTTATTTATATTTATTAAAAATAGTTATTATTTTTACTTAAAAGTCGTGATAATTGTCAACGATTTAAATAATTTAGTGGTTGTCTTTTTCCAGTAGAAGTAATAAATCTTGAATTTAAGTCATATAGCATCCAGGTGGAATGTGATAAAGGATGAGAGATAGATTGTTTCTTATTGTACAATCATGATAAAAAAAAAAGTTGTGATAATTTTTATTTTTTAAAAATAAAAAAATAAATTATTAAAATTTTATATAAATATAATATGTAAATTTTATATATAAATAAATCCTTTTTTATATTATTATTAATTTATAAATTAATTTTAATTTATTAAATAATTAACGTTGATAATTTTTTATTTATCAACTAATAGTTTAATTATTAATCGTTTTTAGCTTCTAGCCATCAAACTACAATTAAGTTAATATTTTTAAAATAAAATATATAAAAAATTGTGTGATTTTGACACTTAAAAGTGTCTATAGCCATTGCTGACTAATTTAGAGGTTTATCCATAATAATTTTTTTCTCCTACATTGATGGAATTAGAGCATGCAGAATAAGGATTCTCTTCTACCATTCTTTCTTTTCTAAAGGGGAAACAAAACATTGCTCCCTTGGGAGCATTTCCGAAACTCAAGCTAGAGAGAGAGAGAGACAACTCAGTCAAAATTTTCGTCCCAAAACGATATTGTGTTTTGATCCCTTTTGGCAGCCAAGTTTGACTGGGCCTGATATTCTCATAGGCCCACTTTCTCACAGCTGTAGCTTGTTCGGGGGAGGGGGGGAATGCACCGGCTGGCGTAATGCCAGTGGGCCTCAAGGGCGGGTGCCACAGCCATTATATTTTGAATCTGAGATTCTTTTTAAAAAAAAAATTAATTTAAAATTTTAATTTAAATATATAAAATATAAATAAAACAATAATTATATATTAACAATTTGTTGATTTGAGTGAAAAGAGTATGATTTTTTTTAAATAAAATTTTGAGTTTGAGTTTTATGAATCTGACGTGACTTGATTTAGAATTAATCGAAATTCAATATAATTAGTGAATATTATAAGGTTAGTAAAAAAAATTATTATTATATTATTTTTTAAAAATTTTATCTAAAATTATGCATTAAAAATATTTTACTAATTATTTTATTTAAAAATTAATTATTATAATACGATGAACTTTTTGATTATTCCCATCCTGGTCTAATGGTTCCACATGCGGGGAGATCCTTTCCAATCAAGTCGTTGTGCCTACTCAGCTTTATTTGATTCTTTTAGTTAACTCTCTGTATGGGTTGGAAATATTAAATTTGAGTTTTAAATTAAATGAAGAAAAATTTTAAAGAAATCATCTTTTTATATAATTTATTATTATTAAATGCGCTAAAAAACATCTGTAATTTTTTTTTTTTAAAAAAAAAAAGATAAGAAAGAAATTCAAACTGTGACTGTTCTCATACATGGACCACAGCACACCACACCACACCACAAAGAGTCAAAAGCCCAAGGCTTTTATTTATTTATTTTTGAACAGTGACCTTCCTTGAAGATCCCCCTAAACCACCAAGGCCAGTACTTTGATCTTCCTTAAATCCCTCCAGTTTTCTCAAGATCTCACAGAAGTGGAAAACATAGAGATGGATCACACCCAGATCAAGTTGAAGGAAAAGTTGGAGTTCCTTGATATACTCAAACATGCCCTAAATATCTTATACAAAAGTACCTGGTTCATTGTCTTCAGCCTTCTCACATACCTTCCTCTACTCTGCTTCTTGCCTCTCTTTGAGATAATTCTCCAGAAAGTTCTGCTCGAAACCCTTGAGTTCCTTGCAGAATCTTCTGCCCTCAATTATCAGGAGCATGTTGTGTATCTTTTTTCAAATAACTCCTTTCATTTGTATGAACCTGAACATCATACAGTGGACAAAGATTTTCCTATTTCCTTGATTGTACACTGTGTTCTTTATTTGGTCCCATATCATCTTCTAGAGCTCCTCAGCGTAATCCTGACTGTGGATACAACATTGATGATATACACAGAGGAGAAGCGGGTCAGCCTAAGAGATATATACAAGTCACTCAAGAAAACAAGGGTAAAAGGTCCATTCATTACATCAGTGTGTGTTTTGTTCTTCTCAACTTGTTTTCTTGTTGGATTTGCAGCTATAGTGACACTTTTCTGTCTTCTCTTGAAATTGAATTTCTCAAAATGGCACCCTTGTTGCGATCCAATCTGGTTGATTACATCAATTTTCCAAGGAGTTGCTCTTATAGCATCCTTGATTAAGTACTTAGATTGGAGGGCCTGTTGGAATATGGCTCTAGTTATATCAATTGTGGAGGAAACTTATGGAGCTGAAGCTCTAAGGCTTTCTGCTTATTACAGCAGGGGAAGTAACCGTCGGGGAATTTTTCTTTCCCTTGTGTTCTTTGTGTGGGAACTTTTCTTTAGGGTATCCTGCCTACTGGGTAGATGCCATGAGAGGCAGGGAGTATGGATGTGGAGTTTGGTTAGCAGCAGCTTGATTTGTGTGGGGAATGTAATGAAATGGGTGGTTTTTGTGGTATATTTCTTTGACTGCAAGAAAAGGGTTTTAGAGAAGAAGATTGATGAGGAAGTTGGAGGAGAGACTAAATTTGTGGAATCTTAGGTGTCTTGTCCATTTTGTAAGCAGCAGGAAGTGAAATTGGCATTGCAGATGCAGCAGTCAGGGAAACTTGTAATGCAGTTTTTGTAGAGTCTCTTTTAATCCATAATAAAACCAACATCTTAATTTCCCATGCTAGTTTGCCTTTCTCCATAAGTGTTTTCTTTTTACACCTGATGATAAATTATGCAGTTAAAAAATTCAAATTCTTAACTATTAAAATTGCAAATTATATGTGCTCATCTTCTTTAGCATTAGAGCAATTGCAGTCAAGACATATTTTCACAAAGGAAAATTGAAAAAAAAAAAAAGAAAACCCAACTTGACCATGTCAAAAATAATATTAAGAGCAATGGCATGGATGCCTCCTGCGAAATTCATTTTCACCATTTTTTGCCTTGCGTTTCTTTGGGTCCAAGAAACAAATAACAAAAGTCTTGAACCCAACCAATGAAGAATTGAAAATGATTTGTTGACAAAATTTATTAACAACAAAAACTTATGGTACGTCATGATGAAATTTTTGTTATTATCTTTTCATTTAAAGTGGATGTGTTAATTAATATGCATCCTTTTTTTAGGTATTATTTATTATTATAAGTATTCGTCGTCAATAAATATTATTAACAAATCATTATCGATATAAGATACACTACGCTGGGGACAATTCAGCTCTATTAGGATTGAGCTTTGGAGGTAGGAGACCAAGAGATAGGAAGCAACCATATTTTGCGGAAGCAGAAGCTACAGAATTGACATTATCGAAGAAGCCATGATAATCCCTATAAAAAATTCTTCACCATAACCACCGTTATTCCCTTTGTTCCGCTTCTTGGTGCGCTACGAAATTTTCCTTCAGCCCATAGATCCTGTAAACATCAACTCTCTTTTTTTTCCTCTTCCTCTTCCAGAATTCAGCTGTCTTCATGACACTCAACATAGCATTAAAGATTTACACAGAAGATAGACAGATGAGTCTTGATAGAAAAACCAAATCATGAAGCCAAGTTGACAATAACCTTCATCACATCTATCTATGTTCATGTCCTCTCCACATGCACTCTGCTTCAACTGATATGATTAGCGACAAACCACTTAAATCTTTTGGGAATTCATTGTTGATGTGTTCTTCACTGTAGGTCAGGATTTTTTCATACGGTTGGTTACATTGGTATGCTTATATTCTAGATCCTTTTAAGAGCTACAGATCTAAAGCATTTGAACAAAAACTTTCCAATAAAAAATCTCACAAAGAGAGGTGAATTTGATAAATGATTCTCGGAAAGACCAATAACAAATGTTTCAGACACTGTGAGCTCCATTCCCAATCAACAGAGAATGGGATCCTACTACAATCTTATCGCAACCGTCCTTCCAGATTAAAACGTAATGGCAGAAAATAAAATAAATTGATTAAAACCTCAAGTTATTCGAAGGTTCATCACCAGATGGACCATTAACTGAGGATATAAGCCAGATACTCTCCAATAGCTTGATTCCCGCTACTTTAATGCACTCCAAAATTTTCATCATTTAGATTCGATGACCTTCCTAGCAAACGAGGGCAAACAGAAGGCTGCTGAATGAATCTGAACCAAGAGAGAGGAGCAAATTAGAATAGTTAAAGGTGCCTGAAATTGTGAAGAATTAGCGTAAGAAAATGGGACTCTGGGATGGAACAGAAATACATACCTCAGAGTTGTAAAACTTCAAGGGTCGTTTAGATTTGGTTTGACTTTCTTCAACATCTATAGGATTCACTGGGTGCTTGAAATCAACAGGAGGACCCTCAGTTGAGCAAAGCATGAATCCAATCACCCCACTGCAACAGCATAAAAATCATTTCAAGGTAGTCAGCACTTGAACTTGAATATATGAACTAGTCCTACATGCAGTATTAACATATACAGAGAAAGGGGGTAGGATTGGTCTGCAGGGAATCAGTTAGGTAAGGGATGATAGGAAGAGCAAGCACATGCCTTGGATATGTAGGAACTGTGGTCCATGCGTAGTTAACAGAGCCTTTGAAGATCTGGCGGCAGTTGGCCACAATATCCTCAATGATGTGCATGTGAAGCCAAATGCTTTCTGCCTGAGTACAGAGAACTCCACCCGGACGAAGAGCCTTTGCCACCGACTCAAAAAAGGGCTTCTCAAAGAGCTCCTGTGCAGGACCTGATGGAACAAACAATATGATTTACTTAAGTGAAAGATTTTAAGGCCTTTTTGACTAGAGTTGATTTAAACAAGTTGCAAAGATGTTATTACCTATAGGATCAGAAGAATCCACTATAACTGCATCATAAGTACCTTCAGGTACAGCCTTTAGAAATGCAACTCCTGTTAATATAAAAGAAGTCCATTACATTTAATTAACAGAACACATTGTGAAAGGAACCAATTAAAGGAAATAGATCATACCATCACCAATATGAAGGGTCACACGAGGGTCATCATATCCAACTGCTACATCAGGGAAAAATTGTTTTGAAACCTGAAAACATAAACAGGATCAATACCATTGTGAGATGAAGACTGCATTCCAGCATGGTTAGAAGTTCATTGCCATGTTATAAGAGCCAATGTAAAAAATGAATGAAATTATAAGCTAGCATATTGCATAAAAATCCAACTTTGATTCAGCGTAAAGGAAAAGACATCAAAATCATCTGGTTTGTTGTTCTGAATGATTCTGCGTAGGTCCCCCCCAAAAAAAAAAAAAAATGAAGATGACAGTGCTCAAATCCTAAAACAGAGTGGAGTTATTACTCACATCAACTACCATCTTATCAATTTCACAAATGTCAATATGTTCAACAGAAGAATGGCGAGCAACTTCCCGCAGGACCCCACCATCTCCACCACCGATAACCAAAACCTGATTAAGAATATTATAGTGAGCATAAAAAACAAGAGTATACATTATAAATTCTAGAAAAAACAAGCTTCAAAAACACCCACAACATTCAATTTAAAAATGTAAACTATTCAAATAAGTAAAAGGGGTCCAGCTTCCAATCAAACTACAATAAATATACCAGAAAATTCATCTTTAAGCTAAAGATTGTCTGTATTCCTCATCAATAATTATCTTTCAAACAAAGGTACTTCAGCCATGTGAAATATCTCAGAGAGAAGAGAAAGTAAAAGAGAACATCCAAACCCTTAATTATAGTTACAGAACTTACAAGCAATGACCATTGAAAATCAACACCATGAAAAGCTATTCATCAATGGGATACACAGTAACATATCTATCAGTAATAATATTGCTCGTGATATTCTAACCAGAAAAATGACTGACTTGTACATCTATGGTTATTAACAATGTACTATTATGAAAATGCTAAATAAGGACCTTCTTTGGATTGGGAATGGAGCATAGTGGAAGGTGAGTAATCATTTCTTGGTATGCACATTCATCCCTCTCAGTGAGCTGAATCACACCATCCAAAATAAGAACCTTTCCATATGTTGATGACTGCCACAAAAATGGTCATACTTTAGCTTTGAAACAAGGTGATTTTAGAAGCCAACAGAAATGACATGGGAAGCACCAAATACCTGAAAGACCATGACATTCTGGTAATCGGACTTCCCTTGAAACAAAATCTTCTCTACCTTTAAGGAATGTGCCTCTCCTGCATGATATCAATTAAGTAATCTTGCATAATGTAAGCTATTCAATGCAAAGAGATTAAAAAAAAGAGACCTCTTTAAGAAACATTCTATAAACCACAAGAACAATAGAGAAGCAACTTTTTCATGGCTGCATAACACAATTAATCAAACCACACACAATCATAGCTTAATAAAAGTAAAAATAAAAATCAAAAGCAAACGCATGAATTTGAGGTCAACACTATCATCAAAGGAATCATTTTGTAGACAAAATACAAATCAAAATTGAAAATTTTTAAATAGCAACACATCAAAATGCAAAGCACATTCGAAACAAGACTCCAGCTTCACATGGATGCTGATCCAATTGTCTAAGACACGGTAAGGCAAAAGGACAAGTACATGCACAAACTTAAAATGAGTCAACGAAACAAACAGAAAAACAAAAGTCAACGATGGGATTCCGAAAACCACTATGAAAAAGAACAGAGATGTTCTGTTTGGTTGCTGAGAAACCATAGGAAAGCCAGATTAAAATTTCCCATCAAACATTACAACAAACAAAGAACACAAAGCAATGATGGGGTTGTGGAAGATAACACACCAGGCCACATGGGGCTGATCTCAGAAAACCACCCTGGAATAACAGAGGATATGTAATCAGGGTTACCCTCCGTCTCCATACCCACGGCAGAAGCAGAGACCCCATTCTCCTCCTCCTCCCTCGGCCTCTTCAGTGGTACATCAACACTCTCTTCCGCCATTGATACTCCCTCTGCCTCTCCTTCTATCCCCTCTGTTCTCAAGACAAAACCTAAAAAAAACCAAAGTCTCTGGCTTTCACAGTGAAAGAGAGAGAGACGCACACCATCCAGGTCTTGCCTTACTATAAAGCTGAATGAATATCTGAGAAAAAAAAAGAAAAAAAAAATATGTATATATATTTATATATATATATATATATATTAGTAATTTATCGAAGCTGCTTGCAGAGGACGCGTTTGGTTGTGGTTTTAAGATTCGTGGAGAAGGAACGAGAACCGTTGATGGTATATTAAATCATGGATTTGATTTGCATCGGACGATTCTTGTTTTTGGTAAAATGGGTTCCACTAAAATGGTGATTGAGGTTAAAAAGTCTATGCCAAACGGAGGACGGAAATGGAGCAGAGATATTCTTTCTTCCAAGTACGGTACAAAATGATGGGGTTCTCAATTAGGGTTGGGAATTGGGATTGCAAAGAGGGGTTTCATTTTTTTTTTCTTTATTTTTTGGGGGTTTACTTCTTTAATAGTCCCTATGGAATTTGTATGGAAAGAAGTTGGTCCCATGATAGGTAAACATATCAAACAAGCCCCGAAAAGAATTTAATGAAATTTGTTTGGTCCATTAGTAAACTTTCTAATGGTTCCAATCACTTAGAGTTGAACTTGCTAAGATGGTTTAGAGTTTTGATCCATAAGATAAAGATGTTGGAGCACATTTGTATTTTTAGTATAAGTAATTTCTTATTATTTAGTATATTAAGTTAATAGTTTGATGACACATATATTTAAATATTAACTTTAACTTTAAATTAAAAATTTTAAATTAATAAATACCAACTCAATCAAACTTTTATTGATAGTATGAGCATTTTTCTTATCCAAATTAATTATAGAGAAATTCAGTGTTGCATTTTGATCATGCCAAAAAGGTTTACATATAGAGAAAGTGTATCATTAGGTAATATAAATTAATTGTAGAAAATATAAGTTGATCACATGGTATTGATGTAACTATGTAAACTCAAACCCAATCTGGTTCTAGTCAATCTATCCAAATTCAATCAACCCATTCACTTTCTATAAATTTCCTTTGCAAGAATCAAGATGAAGAAAACTAAGGTACAATGATAAAAGATGTTCTATCATTTAAATATGTTACTATTCATGTTCATGTCTATATGAATAACACCAACCATTGGATGAGGGAGCCCACCCCATGTCTAATAGCTCTTTGTTTGCAGTTCAATTTTGTCTAGTTAGCAAAACAAGGGACTCATATATGCATATCCTTAGTACTCAGTTGCTACATATTTTTTGTTAGGAGATCCATTAACGATCTTGCAAATTCTTTAGGGACTGTCTTATGTAATTTAACGTCCTTGGTTACCATACTGATTTTTGTCAGAAAACACTTTCAGAATATCTAGACTCTGGGGGTGGAATCGGTGCAGTAAAATAAGAGTTTTCTTAATTAGGGCACTTATATTATATATTAAAAGCCAACCGGCCTCTGACCCAATTAGTTGGCCCCCAAACTTTAAGGTTTAGGTGAGGCGGAGGTCAGGGTTTCGAGCTCTACTACTGCCGTGAATTCCACCAACTTGCGACCTAATTGTCGCACGCCTCAAATAAGGGGGTGGAACGTTCACTTTCCTAAAAAAATTCCAGCTGCTAACAAACTAACTCTACTAACTTCTTAACCATTTACCTGATAAAAAAAAATTATATATTAAAAACATATTTATTATATTTTTTTGTTTGATTGAAATTAATTACATATATTAATTAAGTAAAGGTGGGAAAAATGGATTTGAATATGTCACCTATAAGAGAGTAAATGAATTTAACTCAGGGTTTACATCATTGAGTTACAGTAAGTTGTTTTATTATATTTTATTATCATTAATATATAAAATAAAAATAAAAATTAATAGTAATTTTTTAATTAGTTAAGAAAAATATTCACAAGATAATAAATGTTAAAATTAATATTTATTTATTTTTTTATATAAATTAATATATAAAAATATATGTTAAAATTCTTTTAATAAGTGGACCATACAGACCATCTGTCCTGAAAATCAGATTTTGCTTTGTTTGGGGGTGATGGACCCCATAAAAATTTGAAATTCCTAACTTTGATTTGTCTTTTTCTAGTTTTTTTATTAAAGGAATTTGTCACTTTGCCTTTGTCCAAGTAGGAGTGAGTCATCTAGACAGTGCACTTTTTTTTTTTTTTGGGTTCTCACAGGAAAATAACCTTTTTTATTAGTTCTCTAATTTAATGCAGTCTATTAAGGAAAGTATCATTTCATAATCAATTCAGATTCTGCACTCACAACCAACGGGATTGACGCCAATGGTTGGTATCAAGCCTTGGGGTTTGGATGAGGCAAGGATCAAGATTTCGAGTTTTGTCACCGTCGTGAATTTCACCAATTTGCGACTTAATGGCCACGCGTCTTATATGAGGGGTTGGAATGTTTACCATTCTGGAAAATCCCAACTGCTAACAAACTAACTTTACTAACTTTCTAACCTTTATCCTTATAAAAAAAAAAAAAAAAGGAAGAAGAAGATTCTGCACTCACAATATTTAGGATTTTGTGCTTACTATTATTGTCTTTTGCATCCTTCGAATCACACAGTTTGCATTCCAATTGGCACTATCGCCACTCCTATGAATTACACTCTTGTGCAGTAATATAATTAAGGAATTTTATATCTTATATTTTTAAATACATATTAAATGTGTAATTAATATATTTTTTTAAAAATATAAATATTTAATTTAAATTAATTAATTAACTAATTAAAATTATCTACATATCAATTATATTAAAATAAATATCAATTTTTATAATTTTTTATGTAAATTAATTATAAAACTATATACTTATTACATCCTTAATTTGTGTTCTAAATAAACCCTATATTTAATTTAGGTTTTATGTACTTTAAGATC